AAGAAAAGGAGGAGGAAAACAGAAGAGAGATCCTCAGAGTTCATCCCATCTGGGTTTAGGTGTGTTAGGATTTGGAGTAAGTCTACCAGTTCTTTGCTCTGTGCGTCAGTCAGCAATACAGACACCTCTCCGGTCTTTGAAGATGCCAATATGTCCTCAACTATAGCCTCCTTTGTGGGCAGACCATGACTGGCATCTCTTTCTAAAGAGTTCACTCCAGTTCCTTTCTCCTGAAACTTCAGGAGCATAGGACAAATCTTGGGTACATGTGTTGCCTTGAAGACACCAATGATCCTTTGTGTGAGTGAACAAACTGTTGCAGAGAACAGTGATGGCAACTCAGCAAAAACGGGGCTTTGGAGAAGCTGTGAAGATATGAGGTAGACAGTCAGACAGCCGGGTGGCTGGTCCTTACCTCCGTCTGCTTGTCTGCTGAGGAGTGAACTGACAAGTGCATCTGCTACGCAGTCCACATCTTCTCTGCTTAGGTAAGGAGCAATCAAAGGCAAATTGGACGTGACAAGATACCAGTGTGCAACAGGGTAGGACCCAGCGGTCACACTCCCTATCTGCCCATCCCACACCTGCTCCCCATCCAAACTCCCCTCGTGATCTGATTTAGCTAAAATAAACTTGGCTGCCCTGCTTAGCAGTGTGACAGTGCTAGGTTCACAAACTAATGTGGCATCTAGCAAAACCTTCTTTGTTTGTTGCAATGTGAGGAGTTTGAGCAGGAAACAGCTCATGGGGCTACAGGACGGTTGGAGACGTGCTGGAAAAATCACTCCAGACAGCAGACTTTCTATACGGGTTAGGACTGGAACACGGTCTGCAGTCTTACTCGCAGCTGCTGTCTGGGCTGAGTCAAGAGGTGTGTATTTGCTGCAGTGGATATAGAAGAGCGTGTCAACTTCCACCCAGGTGTATGTGAGGAGGAGAGCGGCCTCCTGGGTCCTCTGTTCCCACAGTGCCCAGGTTTTAGACTCTGAGACCTTCTCTGGCTCTTTGTGGTCCAAGTTCTTTTTGCCTTTCCTTGGGGTCTTTTGAATTGAGCTTGTATTTGTTTTTACAGACTTTTTTTCTGATGACAGCAGTTGCAGCAACTCCTTGACTACCTGTTGCATCTCCTCCATAAGGGCTTGACTCTGCCTGACTATGGGAAGAGGAGAAGTGCTGTCTAGAGTCTTCAGACTGAACAAAACAACATGAAGCAGCTGGGTGAGAGAAAACAGCTTCAGAGACGCATCCTCTCTCTCTTGGGCTTTAATCTCCCATTTATCGTCTCCACTCCCATCAATCTCCATCTTCTCTGCCCCACTTTCCTCATTCACCAAGTCAGGTAGTATATGCTTCCTGATGCTTTCCAACACCAATGAGCAGATCTCTATGCCCTGGGAAGGCGGAGTGTCAAGAAGACAAGTCTTGAGCGAGGCAGAGATGCCCTCAGGCAATAGAGGAGGTCGGAGGTGGTCTAAGGCCGGCTGACAGATCACAGACAGGAGCTCGGAGAAGAGGCGAGGGAGCTGACGGAGCTTAGTGTAGGTCTGGAGGAGACTGCACACCATGAGCTGTTGGGAAACAAACATTTTGTTGCAGTTAAAACTAACCTTTTACACATTTTAATATTTAAAGTTTTTCATTTGCAAGTATAAAATTATGGGGGAGGCTTTCATGTCAAATACACAATAGAAGTTAGGATTAAATCTAGACCTGTCTGGCCCGTTGCACTCGTGCTTCCATGCATTCAGAATTAACCCAGGCTGAAGATGACAGCTGGTCCAGGTCTGGTTCAAGAATCAGATGGTTGAGATTCAACAGCACCTTTAAACAACGGTACCATGCTGGTATGCTGAAAGACAAGACATAAAAAGTTTTCACTATAAGACCAAGAAAATGGTCACTTCAATTATTTTGAATATTAAAAAACCTTTAATAGCGATGAAAAAAAACATCAAGATGGGTGTTTTTTTTTGTTTTTTTTACCTTGGCTGGGCCTGGTTGAAGAGCATTTGTCCCAGGGCTCTATAAAAGTTGAGTTGGACCTCTCCGTGTCTGATCTTGTCTGCTGCTACATTGTAAATATCAGCTGACAGAGCCTGGCTTAGCAGGGACTCCACCGCCAGCAGAGCCAGGCTCCAGCTCTCTGGGGTACAGAGGGAGGCTGGTGGAGACTTCTGCCCGGTGGACACAGAGACTGGCTGGTCTGCTTTGGCAGGTGAGGGTGAGTGTCCATCGAGACCTATGTCCAAGGCCGGGACCAACCTGGCGAGGAAATAGAAACACAGCATCCTGTGCGCTTCTTGATTTTCTCCTCTGCCTTTTCCGTAGCTTTCCAGAAAGAACTTAAACAGCAGAGACAATGTGTTCGACTTCACAGAGTAATGTAGGGGTGGCTCACAGTAGCCCTCAGCACTCAGTTTGGAAAGTATGGCACTGACTGGCTTCAATGGGCCTTTTGCCCCTCCAGGACCACGTTTCCCTGAATCTTCTTTAGATGGAAGGAGCTCCTCCTTGTAAGACGTCAAGTGCTCAGAGGGGAAGAGAGCCGACTGAAGGATGGAGTCTATCTTGATGCGGATGTCTCTGCACAGCTGCTGACGGAGACGCAGATGTGTGTGAGAAGGTGCAAATTCCCCAGAGGTCAGCAGGTGTCTGAGCAGTACTAATGTCTGGATCAGCTGGTTGGTTACCATAGTAAAGACTCTGTTAGGATTGGCTTGTTGTCGCTGAACTGACAAATAACATGACAGCCCCTGAAGCAACACCTCAAACAAGTTAGCTGAACGGAGGTTTTCCTTGAAACAGGATTTATTTGGATCTGATTTTGGCTGATCTGGTGGACTTTCAGTGATCGGCTCAATTTGGGAATTGTCCAGTTCGCTGTCAGGCTGAGTTTGAAGACACTCAGTCATCACCTCATTTTCACATGTGACAGAATCAGCCATCAGGGCTTCTGTGAGCAAAGACTGTTGTAGCTCACGGCAGGCTAGAGCAGAGAGCTTCACCAGGAGATTGACCATGAGTTCATACTTGGTTGTGAACACAGATGAGAGCGCAGGAGACGAGAGAAGGCCCTGACAGACACTCAGTATGGTGGACACACACACTGGCGACTTGGAGCCAACACGCGCGCTCTCCTGGAATCTATCAAGCAGCAGCTACAGGCAAACAGAGAAAAGAAGTGTCAGTAAAACTTTAACATGACAATGTCAACACAAAAACTATCTAGTTTTGTGTGGTCTTTTTATGAGAGTATTGCCAGCAGACCTGTGCCATGTTGAGCCTCAGACTGATGGTCTTGCCCTGCTTGAGAAGAGAGTGGAGCTTCCTGCTGTGGAGCAGATCATCGAGGTAACACCACAGTCCTTCCAAAACATTCTGAGAAAACTCCACCTTCTGATTGTACCAGCCTGTCAGAGCGTGAGTGCACCAGTCCAACAACACCTACAGTGGAAAGAGTCAAGACAAACATGAACAAAATGGGTGGCAGACATTTATGTCCTGCTATTAAATTCATTTAAAAAGCCAATCTCTAAAAAGAACCTAAAAAATAATTACTTGTACAACACTATTCTAAAGTTAATATGAAAAAAAAAATCTTTATATGGGAGCATAAGGTGTAGGACGCATAATACCTACACTTAGTCCAATGTCTGCAATTTCAGCACGGACAATGGTCTTGCTCATTATAGATAACACATTCTTGTTTAACGTATAAAAAGAAACCAAATAACCTCAGAACAAAAACTACACAGAACATCTTTAACCACTCAGGGTCAAACAGTATCACTATCATTCTGTGAAGACACATCTTGTCACACAGGTTCAGGTGTTACCTGTTCCTTGTTAGGCAGCAGGCACTGAGTGGAGATCCAGGCAAAACGTGCCAGCTTTAACTTGTCCTCCCATGGAGTCTGAGGACTCTTCAGTTTCAGATGGATACCTGAGTAGAAGGCAGCCATCGCTGCAGCTGGAGCTACTGCTGCACAGGCCTGAAGAGAGGGATGGAGAAGAGGAGTCAGGGCCAGAGGGAGTGAACGAAATACTATCACATTAATCACATATCACATATACATTAAAATGCATGCGCAAACAAACCCCCCCTAGGAAAGTAAAGAATCCACAGACAAGAAAAGACACACACATACAGTAATAGTTGTTTTTGTTTTAATGTAAGATTTTATTTTAGATATAGATCATGTTCTCACTCGAGTAACTTACACCTGAACACACCGACCAGAAACACACATTTTCAAAAGGAAATCTAAGTTCAAAACGCTTTACAGTCCGGTGCAGGTGTGATGGGAGAATCACTTTTGATGTGCAGGTCTCTTCCAGTCAGTGATGGCCTCAGTCTACAGGGCTTCACAGCTAACCACAGCTAACGACAGCTAACGACATAGCACACTTTAACTAAAGCCAAATAAAACCCTGTCGCTTCTGGTTCACACACAAGGAACCATGAATGAGCTTCAGTGTAACGTGTTTAAGAAACTCTAACATGCACTAATAGAAACTTAACTTATTAAACTTACGACTTTTCAACTTGCACGTGTGTCCTGTTATCAGATGTGGATGAACTTTCAACTTTCACCCTTCCGGCCAGGCAGGAGCAATCGAGAGTCGATTCAAAGTCTCGGCTTTTCCGATCCGAGGATACACAGACCCTTTTCCCCTTTTCGCCTTTGCTTCACCCACAAAAGACCCTGGTAGAAATTATAATTAATTACAGTTTATCTTATTATTATGAATTAATATAAATTTCGAATAAACGAAAACGCATTTCGTCGAGAAAACTCGGTTTGTCGATAAAATAATGTAGCCAATATCCCATGTAGCATTATTTTTAGGTTACATGGTCCTGTATGTGTGTATGAACAAAGTAAATACATTTTTAATTAATTATTAATTGCACCATTCATGTTGTTTTGGGGCCTTTCAAAACTCCTCCACTAAACACTCAGCTATCGATCTGGGCTCGTTTGGTTTTGCCTGGGAAAGTTTGCTTGTATCGTCAGCCATTGAACGTCCTCGTCGAGGAAGAGGAGGAGGAGGAATCATCGTGTGTGTGTAACATGCGAACCAAACCAGGGTCACCTTTCCTGTTTCTACCCTTTTAGACTCTTTCAGCAGAAATCAGTCGCATTTGTCAGAGTGGATTCAGTGATACTCGGCGTTTGTCAGCCTGTGTCTGCACTCATCCAGCGACAGATGACAGTGACAGGCGGGGTGTCGGTCGCTGCTCATTGAGAAGAGATAACGAGATAAACGTGGTGAAGGCGGCTGTCAGGCGCAGATAAGACGAACAATAACGGTCGAAAGTGGACAATGTAGCGGGACGAAGCTCCACAAGTGCTCGGCTGTGGACACGGCTGCGTTGAGCTCACGGCTGCGGCGCTGACATGCTTCTCCGAGAGGACTTACTCCACAAGAAACACCTCGACACCGACTACCAGTGAGGGGGAAACACACCTGTTGGTCAGTTTAAATATCTAGTCAGTAACAACTGGGACGATGCGGCTTTTAACTCGCATGTCAAGGTGCACACATTTGTCCAAACTCAAGCTCACACAGCCGAGGACGTTGTGGCTGGAGCACCGCCTGACCCTCTCCGCTGCCCCCCGGAGGAAGAGGCAGTCCACCGGGGTCAGTCCACCGGTCCAGCCTACACCTGCCGTCCCTCTCTCCTCACCCAGGCCCTTCGTGTCTGTCCTGTCCTTCAGTCCGCTCAGAGGTCTCTCTACTCTCGGTCCACACTCACACACACCTGTTGCCTTTGCGAGCTCTTCAGCCGCCTCTACACCTTCACCAGCCGGGTCAGTGGACCCCCAGACGGACCCGGACAGAGGCCAGACACCGACCACGGTCCCCCTGGAGGATGTTAAGAGGATTTTGCAGCTGGCTCACCCGGAGAGATGGAGTCTGGCAGGTAAACTACTCTGTGTATCTATATATATATATATATATATGTGTGTGTGTGTGTGTCAGAGAGAGGTCAGGGACATGGCAAGGAGTTGACATGTATCTGTCGCTCATCATCACCAGACTGAAGAAAGGTCTGTCCATCCTCAAACACATTCTCCAGTTGTTCTTTGGCTCACCAGGTTTGTGGACTAGCTTTAGGTGCTTCCCTGATTAAAAAAAAAAAAAAAAGGTGTAAATTGTTAAAAGTCGTTGATTTTACTGGTAATCGTGGAGTTGTTATTCATTATGATGTTTCTTTTTTCGCTGTTAGTGGAAAGTAATTCACAACACTGAGTCAAAGCCCTCAAAACTTTATTGGACTGAGAAATGCAGTTTATCAGACCTGTATAGTTTAAAAGCTGCCTACAGTCCTGAGCCTTGATCCAGTGTGCAGATACTGTCAGTTTATTTCTTTATTGGATGTGGTTAAAAAATCGATAAATCTTATTTGTGCTAGTACCATTGGACATTACAACAGTTTGGTTTCGCTGTTTTACCAAAGTTCAAAACCACACAACAGATGAAAATAGACGCATAACATAAGGAAAATGTACACTTATGTACATTTAACATTTGGATGTCCATATTTCCTCTGTTTTTTTGCTGT